AAATGATCCCACATCATTTACAAAGGGAGCCCGTGGCTCCCCTTTGTCTTTTTTTTTTTTTTTTTTTTTGGTTAATTTTAATTTTATTTTGTATATAGTTTTGTTTGGATTATTATTATTATTATTATTATTATCATTATTATTATTATTATTATTATTATTATTATTATTATTATTATTGTTATTGTTATTGTTATTGTTATTGTTGTTGTTGTTGTTGTAATTTGATTATTTGGAAACTTCGGCAAAATTTTAAGAAATTCGCATGTTTAACATTTTGTATTTAATCAAAGCACAAAAAATATGATTTAATAACTTATCAATTTGCTCCAAATTACAAAAAACTAAAACAACACATATACATTTTGGGTTAGTTTTTCCCCAACCCCCTAATCAATTAAAAAATAAAAAAAAAATAACTAAAATAAGAAGCCACTATGATAAGGTTTCTTAAATAAGAGCCTTTTGACTCATTGGGCATCAATAGGTTGAGAAAGTTTATATGAGATATTACATGTAACAGGGTCAATCGAATAGTTATGTTGTGAAACCATGTCCACCTTGCAAGGTGGATACAATTCTATGTTCATAATTACTGAACTCTATGTTCATAATTACTGAACTCTATATTCATAATTATAAAGCTATATATTCATAATCTTTGAACTTCATATTCATAATTATTGAACTCTATAGTCACAATTGCAAAACTCTATGTTCATAATAATTGAACTATATGTTCATAATTATAAAGCTATATATTCATAATTTTTGAACTTCATATTCAAAATTATTGAATCTCTATATTTATAATTACATAACTACTCCGTATATGTTAATAATTATGTTCACAACACTATGTTATAGAACAATATGTTCATAATTTTTGAACTATATATTCATAATTATGAACAATTTTGGAACTTTGTCTACCTTGCAAGGTGGACACGGTTCCACAACATAATTTGCTGGGTCGATAGTACACAAAAATAAAATAAGAGCCTTTGGACTTCTCAATACTTGTCCACATTGATGGTCAAACAATTATGTTTGTAAGAGGAATTGCTCCTCTTATATAGAGAAGCTCAAGAGCTTCTCTTTCTAAACATTTTTAATATGGGATCAAAATGATCCAACATCATTTACAAAGGGAGCCCGTCGCTCCATTTTGTCTTCTCCTTATTATTTTTAATTTTAATTTTATTTTGTATATAGTTTTGTTTGGATTATTATTATTATTATTATTATTATTATTATTATTATTATTATTATTATTATTATTATTATTATTATTTGATTATTGATAAATTCGCCAAAATTTTAATACATTCGTCATTTTAACATTAATCAAAAGACAAAAGATATTATATAATAACTCACTCTTAAAAACTATTACAACACATAGGGTTAATCTTTCACAACCCCCACTAATAAATAAAACTAAAATAAGATGACAAAGCTAATAAATAATAAATAAATAAAACTAAAATAAGATGACAAAGCTCAGGCTTCTAAAATAAGAACATTTTGACTTCTCAATACTTCTTCACATTGATAGACATGCAATTATATATATTTGTAAGAGGAACAATGCTCCTCTTATATAGAGGAGTTCTTTCTTTTCAAACATTTGCAATGTGGGATCAAAATGATCTCACATCAATTACAAAGGGAGCTCCTTGCTCCCCTTTGTCTTTTATTGTTTTAAAATTTATTTTATATATAGTTTTGTTTGGATTATTGTTGTTGTTGTTTGGATTATTATTATTGTTGTTGTTGTTGTTGTAATTTAATTATTTGACAAATTCGTCAAAATTTTAAGAAATTCACCGGTTTAACTTTTTATATTTAATCAAAAACACCAAATATATTATTTAATAACTTAGCAATTTGCTCCAAACTACTAAAAACTAAAACAACACATATACATTTTGGGTTAATCATTCCCAAACCCCCTAAGAAATTAAAAAATTTAAAAAAAAAAACTAAAATATGAAGCCATTACGATAAGGTTTCTTAAATAAGAGCGCGCCTTTTGACACGTTGGACTTCAATACATTGAGAAAGTTTATATGAACAGATACTACATGTAATAGATTGAATCGAATATTTATGTTGTGAAACTTTGTCCACCTTGCAAGGTGGACATAGTTCTATGTTCATAATTACTGAATTATATGTTCATTATTATAAAGCTATCTATTCACAATCTTTGAACTTCATATTCATAATTATTGAACTCTATATTCACAATTACAGAACTCTATGTTCATAATTACTTAACAATGTGTTCATAATTATAAAGCTATATATTCATAATTTTTGAACTTCATATTCACAATTATTGAATCTCTATATTCATAATTACATAGCTATATGTTCATAATTATGTTCACAACACTATGTTCATAATTATAGAACTATATGTTCATAATTTTTGAACTATACATATTCATAATTATGAACAATTTTAGAACCATGTATACCTTGCAAGGTGGACACGATTCCACAGCATAATTTGCCGGGTTAATAGTACTAAAAAAAAAAAAGACTTTGGACTTCTCAATACTTGCCCACATTGATGGACAAACAATTATGTTTATAAGAGGAGTCTCAAAAGCTCCTCTTTTCAAACATTTTCAATGTGGGATTAAAATGATCCAACATCATTTACAAAGGGGAGCCCGTGGCTCCTTTTGTCTTCTTCTTATTTTTTTATTTTAATTTTATTTTGTATATCGTTTTGTTTGGATTATTATTATTATTATTATTATTATTATTATTATTATTATTATTATTATTATTATTATTATTGTAATTTGATTACTGATAAATTCGTCAAAATTTTAACAAATTCGTCATTTTAACATTTTGACTTTAATAAAAACACAAAAAAATTATATAATAACTCAATAATTTGCTCCAAACTGCTTAAAACTAATACAACACATACATTTTGAGTTTATCTTTCACAAACCCCACTAATAATAAATAAATAAATAAATAGATTATTTCACTCCTTGCCAACCTACAAAATGCTCCATATCCAAACATTAATAATTGTGAACACTGCATTACACCGCCATCTCCATATCCACCAAGTTATCATCGCAAAATGCTCGTTCCACTTGCCAACCTTATAGTTGTTCAATTGTCCTACTAATTGATTCCATATTACTATATATATTGTCCTACTAATTGATTCCATATTACTATATATATTGTCCTACTAATTGATTCCATATTACTATGTATAATTTATATATTTGAAGATTTTTTTTTTTGAAAAAAAATATTTGAAGACTTTTTAAAGTTAAATACCTATTAATTGCCTTAATAATAATTAAGATAAATTTTAGTCAATCAATATTCAATAGTACTAAAAGTATTACTTTGAATTTTTATAAACAAGATATAATATTATTAATTCGAAATAATTAAAAATAACGTGTCCATAGTACAAAAGATTTTATAATAGTAATTTTTATTGCCTAATTGAATTTGTCAATTATTAAATATTATTTATGGTAATTATTGTATGAAATTTAATACTAAAACTATTAGGTAGAATTTTTATAATTAAGGTATAATATTATTAAATCAAAATTATTAAAAATAATTTGTCCACAATATAATATAAATTATACTTGACTTAATAATTATTTATTAATATAAATTTACAATTATAAATTTGTATAAGAAAAACATAGAAACTTCTGGTTAAAAAAAAAAATCTCTCCATTTCCTTTTTCTCTTTCCTCACTGTCACATTCGCATTCTCTATAGAAAAAGACAAAGTAGGATGAGAAAAGACCATCTACAACGTCCTCTCCCCTCAATTTGATTTAGCTTTTGCTTGATTGCTGTTTTGCCAAGCGAACCACGTAAACCCTAAACGCTGCTTGTTAAAAAAAACATAAAAACTTGAATGACATGTACAAATCTCGAAGTCAACATACTAACTTTAAGTTTCAGAGAATCCTACAAAATTATCAAAATCACTGTCGTTATCATCCTCGATGCATCTCTACGCTCTTCCATAAAAACTAAACCATTATGATTCTATTACCAAGCCTCTTCTTCCTCAATAATATCTCAAAATCAACTTACATAAAACTGAAATTACTATACAACAATATTTTCCTCAAAATAACAAATAATTAAACTTTATTCCTTCTCAACTTGAATTCATCCCGAATTCCTATCCATGTTCACCTGTATAAATAATTTTACACAAAAACAGAATGTAGACAAAAATTAGCATAAGCTAAGCAAGTTTCACTTCACCCCTTAAAATAATGGCCTGGATTTTTTATATTTTCAAAACTCATATAATTTAATACTTTTTCAAAATACATGTAGAGTTATACATTTCTTTGGATGGAGAATAAATAGTTATTTATGGAGAAGTAACCAAACTTTTTGAAATCCACTTTGAAACTGGACTAAAACCTATGTGCACACCCTAGAGGATTCCAAGCCACTAGGTAATATATGATCCAAGTAGTCAGGTTTTCCTACGTACTACCACTCAAACAATTTGGAAACTGAATCATAACTTATGTGATACACTCTCATGGGATTCCAAGCCCAATGAGTAGGAAATAGTCCAAGTGAATAGTACTCACTTTTACTGAACATCACACAATATATTATTTTCTCAAAATTTCATTATTTATCGACAAATAAATACTTTCTCCACAAAAATACAATTTTCTCCAAATACATTTTTTTTTTAAAAAATATACAATTTTCTCCACATGATTTGTCCAAAATATAATTATAGTCCATAATCCAGTATTAATACAATTTCACAATACTACTATGTATACAACACAAAAAATTCCAAGCCAAGTATTTACACAACGCACGGGTTCGAACATCGAAACTCATTCTCGATATTTCGAGAATCACTACTCACAATATTACCATTTATCGACAAATGTACTTGTGTGCACATGAATAACATTTTTTTTTGAAAGCAAACATCGAGCATATTATTACTGAAGATACGGTAGAACATAGTCAAGTGGGATCAAATTCCAATACATCGTGGCCTGAGCCGAAGCAAACGAAGCTAAGGAATGAGCAATAAAATTAAAGGTTCTTGAAACCGAAAATAAACTAACATAAGTAAACGTGGCCATGATAGCCCTGCAGTCATTGATGACTATGCCAACATACGATCTCGGAGTAGAAGATGTCTTTGAAATATAATTCTGTACGATTGCACAGTCCGTGTAAATTGTAACTGTTGTAACAGCACGAGCCCTGAGCCAAGATAGTGCTTCCTTGCAAGCGAGGGCCTCCGCAGTAAGAGCATTCTCACAGTATGGTAATGGTTCGTTCATAGCAGCCATAAAAGCTCCTCCTTCCACACGCAAGACCACCCCATACGACGCTGCACATGTGTTGGGATCGTATGTTGTGTCGAAGAAGCAGGCTAATCCAGCGTAAGAAGGCACGTGCTGCTGCTGTAGAGTTGGGGCTGCCACCTGCTGTCCAGCGATTGTCCATGCCGCAAGTGACGCAACTGCAGCCATCCAGACCTGTTTCGGTGCACGCAGGTACGCTTCCCATAGCACGGTGTTTCTCGCATTCCACACTTGATAAAGTACTGCAACAATTCGAATAATAACATCCGGGGTTAACATAGACATAGCATTTTGGAACCATTCTGCAAACGATCCACCATGTATAGAAAATATAGGGAGATGAGATTCATTCCAAACACGGTTAGTATATTCACATCCAATAAGTGAGTGCCTAACATCCTCATAACTAATGGCACACATAGGGCAGTACGGGTATATGTCAACTCTTTTTTCAATTAAGGCGGTTGAGGTAGGCAGGATACCCCGGATTGCTCTCCATAAAAACGTTACCATCTATCAAAGTTGGTAGTATTTGGTATATCTCCAATAATAATCCTATACGCACTTTATACTGAATAAATTCCATTTGGTTCCTTGGGCCAGTACCATGTGTCTTCATATGTAGGGCATACAGGGATCCGGAGGATACGATTCGATTCGCATCAGCAGCATCAAATAAGGATTTCAATATCCCATGCGTGAGTACTCTGGTCAATCAAACCCACTACTTTTGCCTCATGTAATTCAGCCGGCATAGTAGTTTGTATACGAAAATTATCATCCCAGATCCAAGGATGATCCCAGATTAATGTTGAGCAACCATCCCTTATTCTTCGCCTTATACCACCACAAACCAGTGCATGAGCTGCCATAATACTCCTCCAACAGAAACTGAGATTATTTCCTATACACGCATTATAAAAGGAAGTTTTGGGTAGTACCTTGCCTTGTACAGAGAATCTGGCTTTGTGAGAAAACGCCATGTCTGCTTTCCCAGCATAGCCAAATTGAAAGCTCTAAGATCTTTGAATCCCAGACCACCAGCAGTCCTAGGCTTGCGAAGTCAGTCCCATGCCATCCAATGTATTCCTCTGTTATTAGCGCCACTCCTACCATAATAATATCTGTTCATAACTCTTTGGATAGCCAGGCAAGTGGACTCATTTAGCAAGAAAACACTCATAGAAAAAGTTGGCATTGCTTGAACCACAGTTTTCAAGAGAATTTCCTTGCATGCTCGAGATAATAACTTCTTATTCCATGACCCAATCCTCTGAGCTATTTTCTCCCCAATATAAGCAAATACATGTTTCTTATTCCTTCCTATGAAAGATGGAAGTCCCAGGTATTTTCCAAAATCATTAGCCTGGACAACTCCTAGTGCCGCAACCACCTCATCTCTGTCAGTACTCCCCGTGTTCTTATTAAAGCAAACACTAGACTTGTGGAAATTAACAGATTGGCCAGACAGTACCTCATATTCAGATAAACACTGTTTAATCACACCTGCCTCCTGGGAATTTGCTTTAAAAAATAACAAACTATCATCTGCAAAAAATAGGTGGGATATCGCAGGAGCACCCCTTGCTACCCTACACCCATGTATAAGGCCCTGCGTTTGAGCATTTTGTAATAACAGAGATAGACACTCAGCACAAATAATAAAGAGATAAGGAGAAAGAGGATCCCCTTATCTCAATCCCCAGGTTGGATTAACAACACCACTCACTGAACCATTGACAATCACATTATAAGAGACAGTTGTTACACACATCATAAGCAAATCCACCCATCTATCAACAAAACCCAAAGCCATCAGCATACGCCTCAAAAAAGGCCACTCCATTTTATAATAAGCTTTGGCCATATCCAGTTTAAGGGCACCCCAACCAACTCTACCACACTGCTTTCTATTCAAGAAGTGACCAATTTCCGAAGCAACTAGGATGTTGTTCGTAATGAGCCTATCCGGAATAAAAGCACTCTACGACTCTGAAATAATATTATCCATGAGGGGCTTCATTCTGTTTGCAATAATTTTAGCCATGATTCTATAAACAACATTACATAACGCAATAGGCCTTAAATCAGTAGTAAATTTTGGACTCTTCTTTTTTGGAATCAAGACAATATTAACCACATTTAAGACATCTGGGAACTGACCAGTATTCAAACAGTTAAGCACAAAAGTAGTCACATCACTACCCACTATATCCCAGAAGTGCTGATAAAATCCGGGGTTCATTCTGTCTGGTCCTGGAGCTTTGTCCGAGAACATAGAAAATAGCGCCCCCTTTACCTAATCAGCCACAAACGGTGCAAGCAGGGATCCATTTTGACTAACAGACACTCGGGGTAAAACCAACTCAAAGAAATCATCACTAACAGGGGGGCTTCCAGACTTAAAAACATTCTCAAAATAATCAATTATCACAGCATTCATACGACCCTTACTGACCCACTCCCCATCCAAGCCCTTTAATCTAGAAAGATAATTTTTACTTTTACGGGAAGAGGCATACCTATGATAGAACTTGGTATTGGCATCTGCACCGCGCAACCAATGCTGTTTTGCGCGCTGCCTCCAGTAAACATCCTCCTGGGCCTCTAATTGCGCTAGCTGCGCCTCAATGGTGTTGTACTGCTCAAGCGATACCGAGTCCGTGCGTCCCCTCAAGCCTATTAGTTTTGCCTGAAGGAGTTTAATCTGTTTGCCAAACAGGTGGAAACGGTTTCCACCCCACACCTGTAACCGGTCTTTGCATAACCGTAAGCTTTTAGGTAAACCACCATCATTCCCATCATGCCAGGCCTGCTCCACCACTCCCCTACAACCTGTGTCCAGCAACCAGGCCATCTCAAAACGGAACCCACTGTGTCCTCCACCACCCCGGCGTCCCAAGCCTGTTAGACCGAGGAACAAAGCTGAATGGTCGAAAGTGCGTGTTAGGATATTACACACCTTGGCCTCATCTAAGATACCCCGCCAGTTGGCTGTAGCTACAACTCTGTCCAACCTCTCCTCTACCCAATCTTCCGTACCACCCCCTCTCTGCCAGGTATAGGGGTAACCATCCATGGGCATGTATAACAAACCACACTCATCCAGTGTCTCCCCAAAGCCGTGAAGGAGCCTTTCTAGATGTGGATGCCGTCCTCGCTTCTTAGATTGAAATAGGAGATCATTGAAATCTCCAATCACGACGCAAGGAAGGGATGACTGCACCGATAATCTCGTCAAGAGTTCTCATGACTCCCGCCTTCTACTCCCCTCCGGAAAGCCATAATAACAAGTCATACGCCATGGGGTGTAACCATCTATCGTCACTTCTACATCCACATGATTTTTGGAAAAATTAATAAGACGTGCCGTGTTATTATTCTTCCATAAGCCAAACCACCACCCAAACGCACAGGATCGACATAGAACATTCCATCGAAACCGAGCTTGACCGGTAACCTTTCTGCATGGTCACGCTGCACCTTCGTTTCCATTAAAAAAATACAAAATCAGGCTTCTTAAAGGACACCATGTCCACAATTTCGCGAACTGTGCGTGGATTGCCCAAGCCACGACAGTTCCAACTGAGCGTACTCATGATGATGGGCGGGCCTGAAAAGCAGCACCCGCCATAGGCAAGTTTTTTGGCACCTCTGACATGGTAACATCACCTCCTCCCATTCCCATGCAGCGATCATTCCAGGCAGAATTTTCACGTCTCCTCTTCGCGACCGCAGCAACCGGCAACTCCACACCTCCGTACCGTTCAACACTGCCCCACGGTCAACCCCTCCAGCCGGCCGAACCTCTCCCAAGGCCGCCCCTCCACCCGCCACCTTCGGTTTTCCGCCAACGAGAACGAGCCAGTTGTCCCCTACTTCTCTCGGCCCCCGATTACCCCCTACACGAACATCCGGACCATACGGGTATTTATCCACTGGCACCGTAGCCATACGTGCCTTAACACAGAATTTATAAGAGTGCCCCTTCAGTCCACAGAAAAAAAATGTATGCAATCTCTCATATTTGAAATTAACCCAACACGTGGTCTTATCCCGCTTCAACAACTTCATACGTCGGCGTAGAGGTTTATCTACCGGTATCGACACTAGAACTCAGTAAAACGCAAGCCAAGGTGCACCTGCAAATCTATCATCGCATTTGGCGAAAGTTCCAATGAAGTTACCTATTTGCTCAATCATAAGGTCAGAAGTGTATCCCATCGGAAGGTCATGAATCTGCACCCACATGTCCACAGAATCTAGCACCACATCCCCAGGCAACACCCCATCTCTAACCTGGCAACAAACTAGAATGTGGTTCTCAAACGCCTATGGGCCACCATCCAGAACGTATTCCATGTCCGTTTTATGGAAGAAAACATAAAGGAACACCCCTTTCTGTAACTCCGTCACCGTAACCCCCATCACTGGCTGCCACACAGACGCTAAAACCTTCCTCATATAATCCAATTTTATCATCTTAGTCGTGAGGAATCTCCCCACCACTGTCCAGGTTTTCGTCGCAGCCACATCGCCACCTTCCGCCTCAAGACCGACCGGCGCAAATACTGCCTCTTCATCATCTAGCAACATATCGCCCCACCGTTCCGTTAGGCCGGCTACCTCATCCACCCCCTCGCTAGACGCCATACGACAGAAACTCAAAGGTACAATCGAACAGAACCCGCAAGAATCACCAGCAGAAAACGAACGTGAATAGCAAAAACCTAGGAAAATCCTAGTAGAGAAGGCAAAACCCTAGAGAGCCTAGAGAGAGACCATTTTACTATTATATCTTCATTATTCTTTTTTTTTTTTTTAATCTTCAAGCCTAACCTTTTCACTTAATTGTGGACACCCCAAGTTTGCACATGAATAACATATTTCATATAATATCACATATAATATCAATACATACAATACTCGGGAAAAATAATAATTTTCGTGAACATAAAATCTTACCCTCGAAGGCAAACTTTCTATAAACCTTAGTAGCATCCTAAACACCTTGATAAGAAACCCGTGAATCAAATAAATCCAATAATAATAATAATAATAATAATAATAATAATAATAATAATAATAATAATAATAATAATAATAATAATAATAATAATAATATTATTATTATTATTATTATTATTATTATTATTATTATTATTATTATTAACATATAAACATTATCTTATTATTATTATATAATAATTACCGAAGCATCATCATCAATCTCAATTCACCAGTATCAACAAACTTAGATTTAAACAAAAGAATTTGGAGAGTAGAAATAATTACCTGAAGTAGAGATTAAGTGAATGAGTTTTGCTAGGATTGAAGAAGACGTAGGAATAGATTTAAAATCATGAAGAATCAGTAGTGTGAGGGAAGATGAATGAATGTCAAAGTTTATAAATTTGTATTTATAGGTGGAAAATAGTAATTCTAAAGGAAAGTATATTAATAATTTATTTAAAAAAGATAGAAAGTAAAGTAAGTATGGTAATAAAATTATTATTAGTATATATATTAAATTAAATATTATATATATACATACATACATATATATATATATATATATATATATAATGGATGATATTATGTATATTGTAAATAATGGAATTGACAGCTACATACGTTCATATGGAAATAATTATTATATAAATAAATATACTGCAATTCCGTTAAGAATTTTAAAATGATTTAGCATAATTGAAGTTATGAAATTTGAAGAAATTAATTATTATAATATTAAATTTGGTAAATTGGACCCAATCTGCAATGATAAGGTTATCTTATATTTGGAATGATTTTGCTTTTAAAAATGATATAAATTTAGTTATCTCATATTTGGAATGATTTTCAATAAATATTTGATTTTATTTTATATCAAGATAAAAACAAATAATTTATAATTATTTCACCGATTTGCCTCATATAAAATATTCAATATTGGTCATATTTGGAATGATTTTGAATAATATTTGATTTTATTTTACATCGTGGTGTTCGCAGAAATTTATAATTGCATTGTCGATGAAATGAGTTAATTGTTACTTAAATACTGCAATTCCGTTAAGAATTTTAAAATGATTTAGCAGAATTGAAGTTATGAAATTTGATGAAATTAATTAATTATTATAATATTAAATTTGGCAAATTGGATCCAATCCGCAATGATAAGGTCATCTCATATTTGGAATGATTTTACTTTTAAAAATGATATAAATTTAGTTATCTCATATTTGGAATGATTTTCAATAAATATTTGATTTTATTTTACATCAAGATAAATTTAAATAATTTATAATTATTTACCAATTTGGTTCATATAAAATATTCAATATTAGTCATATTTGGAATGATTTTGAATAATATTTGATTTTATTTTACATCATGGTGTTCGCAGAAATTTATAATTGCACTGTTAATTGTTAACAACTCTACTGATCAATTATCTTGTACATGGACAAAGGTAGTGGGCGACCAAATTCGTGAAAATCGAAGCTATAATGACGTTTGCCCGGAAGACAAAGAAATCTAATAGAGAACAAAACTATGCCGTGAAAACCCATGCCTGCAAAGTAATTCTTGACTTCCCAGTTGTGCATTAACAACATAATAAAGGCAAGATTGCAAATCAACATCAATATTATGCTTGTGTTGTCCTTGAATATATAAATTTGAGAGCAAATGTATGCCCAATCATCATGAGCCAAGACATAAAACTTTTTAACATATATACAAACTATGAACTCAGAATAAAGTAGTAAACCCCATTTCTCTGAATAAAGCTGCCTTTCAAAGAATTTGATGTACATCCTTTCATTAGATCACAAAATATAAATAAGTAAAATTGTATAATAAATTGTCACACTGTAAGTTCAAATAGCCTGAACCAGAACCTGTCTAAAATAAATTGCAACAAAGAAAGGAAGGCCATAAGATATCATGATTGCACGATTTCGTGACATTGGGACCTCTTGAAGAAAGGAATCAAAGACACTCGACCCTTAACTTCAAGAGAATTGGGCCACTCCTTCATTGATGTTGTTTCACCACTGTAAGGAAATAATCAACTGTTGGTGATAATGAACCACAATCGATTTAATATCCGTAAAATAATATTTATATATATACACATGAAATATATATAAAATATTATTGGATATATATCCGAAATATATATACACACACAAATATATATAAAACGGACCCAACGGTTATATATACATGTATATCTACGAAAAAGATATACCAATATATATCAACCAAAAAGAAAATATAATCCTTAAATTATAATTCCAAAACAACAAGAAAGAATGGATTTTTGCTTAGAGCATAATCCAAAACAAGAAAGAAGGAGAAGGAAGAAAGAATTGTACGAGTTAGGCGAGTGCCTTTCTTTCCTTAAAACCTTATTTGCCACCTCCCAAAAGTGCTAGGAGCGTTGTGGCCTAGGTTTCTCAGGATAAAACGTACAGCGGTTCGACGTTTGAGCACCCAAACGAACGAACCCGGCGAACTAGAGCACGGGCAAAATACAGTAGCAAGAAAAGGAGTAGGAGCAGAGTTTTTGAGAAGAAAAAGTTCTTATCTTTGTGTGTTGTGTCACTCTCGTTCTTCCCTCTCTTGTTGTCTCTCACTATGCAGTTTAAAAGACCTCTACTTCCACTACACTTATATAGGAGGTTGGTACTTAATAGCATCATCATGACACATTAACCAACATAAATTCAATTTAAAAATTGAATTATAACGTTTGAAATGGTCGTACTTATTATCGAAATAATATCAACGGTCACGAACTTAATATCCGATTAATTCGTACCGACCATAACGACCAGTTTCAAAAATATCTGAGCGACCGAGAAGTCCGTACAAACCTGAAAGTTTAACAAATTTGGACCGGAAACCACACCCGAGTGGTCCGCAAGCACCAAAATGGTGCAACACGAATCAATGCATAAAAGCACCAACTCGTGCTGCACGAAAGGAGCCCAAAAGCTTAATTCACTAATTAACCTTTCAAATTACATTTAGCAAAATTTCGTCCATGCAAACTTTCGTCCCAATTCCATTTCATGCTAACAAATTAGCACATTAATTAAGCTTCCCAAAAGCTTATTCTCAAGCTTGACAACTCATGTTGTCACACTAATTAAGCTTAATCTTAAGCTTTAAGCTTTCTAAGCTTAATTTGACTTCTCTCAAATAGGTTCACTTTGATAATCAATTTCTCATTCACCTATTACCCATTTTGAGCGTACATTATATCAAATTCTTCGTCTCACTACGAAGAACCCGAATCCACATTGACCCGACCCAAATCGGAAGTGGATCCCACATTATTTGTACCACAAAATAATCACTCAAAATATCATTTTAATGCTATTTTTCCAACAATCCCCACATGAATGAAAAAATTATTTTCAGGGTATTTTGAAATAGGAAACAACTGTGTTTAACGGTCGATCCCCTCATAGGATAGGTAGGGATCACTATACCCTTTGAAACTTCCCTTGTGAAGACATGTTTACTCTACTGGCTGTACGGTAGAACACGATGTCTTTGAACCGACTGCCGTTTGTGTAGACGATGACATATCTCACACAGGAATCTCCCAACCATGCTCTGTTCTCATGAGTGTGCCCATTTTGGTCGTGGGTCACTGTCCTGGTTCTGCAAGAGTTTGTGAAGAATTGTGCCCATCAATTCTCCTTTGAAGCGACCCTCACTTCTCTCTCACATAGGTGATTCTTTTCCGAGTATCCCGCATACTCACACATGTCAACCGACATTCGAATAATTAAAGCATCAATATGCTAACCTTGCGCGGGAGTCACTGTTCTAACGAGGAGTGGTCGGGAGTCAAAGACCCCCACAGTGACACGCTTCGTTCCATAATTTAGTTGTCCCATTGAACCTAGGTGCCAGCTAGGTTGGTTATCCACTATAGAACTTTTAGTCCAAGGGCTTTAGACCCAATCCTCGTTCCAACTTCTCCAAAACCATTTGCTTACCCTCGGGTTATCGAGTTAGCGGCCGCTACGTTATCTTTTGACATCACGTAGTCAATAGAGATAACCCCCGTTGTGAGAAATTGTTTAATGGTATTATATCTACGACTTATAAGTCTAGACTTACCATTCCACATTTAACTCTGTACTTAACTAATTTTGGCTTGACTATCGCAATGCACACAAATTGGAGGTACGAGTTCACCACTAGGAACATTCTCGAAATAATGGCATAGCCATTCGGCCTACTCGCTCGCGACACGAGTGTAAGGCTCTCAGCTTTGATCCCGTTGGATCTTAGCTATCAGAAATTCATTTCGAGAATTTCCATCCAACCGACTGCACTGGCCTATGTAAAGACGTAGCCTTTGATGGACTTAGCGTCCTTTGATATCCGTGCTATACTTTCCAAGTACGGCTAGATATCCCATGTTGTGCAGTCCAAAGTCACGAGTATACCTTAAGTATCTCATAACTTCTATTGCCTTCTAGTGCGCGACACTAGGGTTACTCGTATGTCTACCGAGTTCGTTAACCGCTAAGGCAATGTTCGGCCTAGTACAATCCATTAGATACAATTAAACTACCAATAATCTGAATGTATTCTCCCTGAGATGTAAAATCTTCGAGATTATTGGCTAGTTGTACGTTAGTATCTAACGGTGTCCAAGCCACTTGATTAACATCCTTTGCAAGGATTTAATCAACACAGTGAGATTGGCTCAACACGAGACCATACGGTCTTCTCACAATTTTAATCCCGAGGATTAAATCTGCCAACCCCATGTCAAATATCAAATTTAACATGTTCAAGGTAGAATTGATCATTTGATCGTTACTACCCACGTTGAGTTTATCGTGTATAGACAAATAGTGATAGCCTCGTCTATCGTACGCATTACGTAGACATTTATCACATTTGTTTATACTAAACTCGTGACACATCATTGTATGATCAAAACCTACATGCCAAATACTAAGGCAATTGTTTCAAACCATACAATGATCTCACCAATTACACACTTTCTTTCCCTAGCACGGAACCACAAAACCCTCGGGTTGTTCCATGTCTATTAATAAAGCGATACATCCATTTCGATAAACTTCCAAGTCTCGCTAAACAGCTCTTGGAAGTATCATCCTAATGGATTTCGTTCTCATCACAAGAGAATATATATTGAAGTAATTGTGGCACTCGCGTCGCATATAATCTAAAATTACAAGCCCGGCCATTTTACTCCAATATAACCAACCGGTTTTATCTTCCGACTAGTGATCCACTTAGGATCCCGAGGTTTTACAACCTGGAGGAAGAACAACCAGTTCCAAGTATGATTCTTTTAAGATAGAATCTACTTCACTCTCGGTAGCCTCTCTCGGGTTGGTCCATTTGTAAAAGTCACCACTTCTACATATGTTCGAGGCTCGTTTTCTAACAACCTTGTCAGAAAATCCAAATTATTTTCTAGTATGCAAGTTAGAATATGCACACCACATTCTAACACGTATGTCAGAAAATATGGACCAAAGGATTTTTCAATCCTAGCTCTCTTGCTACGTTTAGCTTTGAGCTCAGGTTCTCTATCACATCCTTCAACCATAGCTACGTCGAAAGTTCATTTCAACGTGCTAGGTCCTTTTATTGAACCTTCACAGAAATGCATCTTCTAAAGAACGATGAATTTCTTGATTCAGTTTATTGTGTTTTTATGTACATTCAGAGTGTAGGACTCGTGTACTAAGAACCAAAACGCCTTTGGCAAGACACCCCACATTTCAGGCATTAGGAGGAAAACTTCCTACGTGCCCACAATTTGTAAGAATTTCATGCGGGTAACCTTATTTAAAAGGTACTAACTTGTCCAAAGTATTGTCTCACCCCACATACTTTGAGGTAGACCCGAACTTATCAACGTATTGATACTTATGTTCGGCAACAACGTTTGATCGAGGTGAATACCGTGTCGTACGCTCGAGTAATTCACTAATTAAGCTTTCAAATTACATTTAGCAAACTTTCGTCCATGCAAACTTTCGTCCCAATTCCATTTCATGCTAACAAATTAGCACATTAATTAAGCTTCCCAAAAGCTTATTCTCAAGCTTGACAACTCATGTTGTCACACTAACTAATCTTAATTAAGCTTAATCTTAAGCTTTAAGCTTTCTAAGCTTAATTTGACTTCTCTCAAATAGGTTCACTTTGAGAATCAATTTCTCATTCACCTATTACCCATTTTGAGCGTACATTATATCAAATTCTTCGTCTCACTGCGAAGAACCCGAATCCACATTGACCCGACCCAAATCGGAAGTGGATCCCACATATATTTGTACCACAAAATAATCACTCAAAATATCATTTTAATGCTATTTTTCCAACATCAACAACCATCAACGCAAATAAAAAAAAAAAAACATGCATGTAATCAAAGCAGGCAACCTCATCATAAAGATTTGAAAGCAGCCAAACATCAGAAAAAAAAAAGAAGAAATTCACTTCAATGGAAGAAAGTTTTTTTTTTTTTTTTTTTTTTTTTTGTTAACCTGTTTTTCACCCATCAGGAGACATATAAAGTAAAATCAAATCAATAAAATAGTAAAAATACAAAAGAAAAAAATAAATAAAAGAATAGAGAATACGAAATTTAGGAAAACATAATCTGCTTTGAACCAGCACAAAAAACTTACATAATTCAAAAAATCCTAAAATTATTAAATATTGATATCAAAATACATACAAACATGCCAGATTTTCTTTAGAGCATGATTCAACCATCTTACACTTTGTGAATCAGAGAGCATCTGAAAAAAAAAAACAGCAAAAGGAGAGTCATTAGACAAGTATCAAAGAATCAATTCAGGAGTCCAAGCAAAAAAAACACACAGCAGAAAGAGATTCCAAACATCGTGGAACAACACAAATACCCATCAACTCCTTAATCGTTGGTCACTGGTGCAAGATGTCGACGGGGAAGCTGCTGCATGTAGGGAGGAAAACAGGGGACGCCGTTGAAGAAACGCTGCGTTCGTTCAGCTGCTGCCCAACCAGTGATCTGTTCGCCTGAGTCGCCACCAGAGGTCGCGATTCCTGCAGTTGCCTACGTCGGAGGAGAGGCTGCTAGGCCAGAGATGGAAGTCGCCTGTGAAGATCAAAATGTGACTGGACGTGGTGTCTCTCCTGGCGGGAAGAAGGGGAGAGGCTGATGACAGCGGTGCATGGGCGCTGGTGTACGGTTCCCTGCAGTCACGAAGAAGGAGTTGATGCGGTGAACGCTGTCAATTTGAGCACAGAGAAAAGACCAAGGAAATTAAATGCACTGAACGTTGTCAATGGCGTGAAAGAAGAAACATTCACAATAAATGCAAGCATGGGTTGTCAGAAAGAGAAGTACAATAGATAAGGATGGGTAGTCAGGCCAACACATGGCTACAGTAAAAAGCTAACAATCTCTTTGTACTTCACAAGCCGAACACAAGCCGTATTTTGAACAGCCGATGCATCAGAAGTGCAGATGAGAAATTTCATGTTTCAAGGTCCAACAAATAATGCATAGAGTAAAAAAAAAAAGTCGCCTGAAAATGTCATGGGCAAAACTCACCGAACCTTTATGCGTATTCATTGATTTATATGTATTCATTGATTAATATTCACATAAAAAATTACTACTCATTAGTTATTTATTTTTTTATGACAATGAAAATTTGTAACTAGTTCGCAAAAGTATGCATCTGGTAAATTATGTTATTATATATTAATTCACAAACTACACAAAAAAATAAAATACAGCAAAAATACGAAAAATAAATAACAGTAAAAACACCCTGTTATAAACTACTTGATAAATCTTTATCTCATTAATATCACAATTATTAATTTCAAGAGTATATGGATCATATCATAAAACATATATGGCACTCTTGATGCACTCCTGTATCATATCCACAATGAAGCAACAAGTCTTGACGTGACAAGTCTCCCATTTGAGTGTCCAAGAAGCCAGACCAGCGCATTTATGACTACCACTGAATGGACAAGCGTGCACAGATAGACAAAAAATTTAATGCAAGGACAATTTTTGAGCCACGTGCAAATATGACTTTCACCGTGACCATTGGCCCTTGCGTGTTCCTCCATTTTCCCGGCCAGCTTCTTATCTGTCGCAATTCATGAAAACCGAAGTTATAACGACGTTCGCCCGGAAGACAAAGAAATCTACCAGAGAACGAAATAAGTATCTCGGCTTATTTAGCAACATGTCCCTCCGAACCCACCGTTGATTGAATATGGTGGAAGTTCTCCCAAGATTCTACTCATCGCACCAGCGAGAAAGGCGGTGGCCGACCAAATTCATGAAAATCGAAGCTACAACGATGTTCGCCTGGAAGACCAAGAAATCTACCGAAGAACAAAACTGTGCCGTGAAAAACCATTCCTACAAAGTAATTCTTGACTTCCCAGGTGTGCATTAACACCATAGTAAATGCAAGATTGCATATCAACATCAATAGTATGCTTGTGTTGTCCTTGAATATATAAATTTGAGAGCAAATGTATGCCCAATCATCAATCGAAAAAAAAAAAAAAAGAAATTCACTTCAATTGAAGAAAGTTTTTTTTTTTCACCCTGCAAGAGGCAGATAAAGTAAAATCAAATCAATAAAACAATAAAAATATAAAAAATAAATAAATAAAAGAAGAGAGAGTAAGATCTCTGGGAAAAAATAATCTACTTTGAACCTGCATGGAAAATTTATGCAGTTGACAAAATCCTAAAATTATTAAATAGTAAAATCAAAATACATTCAAACAAGCCAGATTTTCTCTAGAGCATGATTCAACCATCTTACACTTTGGGAATCAGAGTGTACCTAGAAAAAAAAAAAAGCAAAAAGAGAGTCATTAGACAAGTATCAAAGAATCAATTCAGGAATCCAAGCAAGAAAAATGGACAGCAAAAAGAAAATAAAAACATCTTGGAACAGCACAAATACCCATCAACTCCTTCGTCGTTGGTCACCAGTGCAAGATGTCGACAAGGAACCAGTGGTAGGGGAAGCTGCTACCTGTGGCAGGGAAAACAGGGGACGCCGTCAAATTTCCGCTGTGTCCGTTCAGCTGCTGCCCAGCCAGTGATCTGTTCGCCGGAGTCGCCACTAGAGGTCGCGATTCCTCCAGTTGCCTGCGCCAGAGGAGGGGCTACCAAGCCAGAGATGGTGTTGGAAAAAGGTGCTTGTAAGCTGTAATACATTTGAGATACAACAATAATACAGAATACAACAGGGAACAAAAACTGGATCATTTGATATCTTCAGGCGTGTAATCACTTTCCTATAAGCTTTAAATCTCCCTCTATAAAAGCAACAAGGTTCAAGATTTAATCTTATGGGATACAAGAAGATGAATGAAATTCTCAAGTTGCTTTGTTTGAGAATTCCCTGTAGAATTGTAATTCTGTGAAATGTCTTGGTTTCCTGCAAGTTGATTGCCTCCATCAATTGCCTACTTTCTTTTTCTCTGTATTCTTCAGATGTTTCCCCAGATATTTATATAGCAGTTAGGAGAAGTTACATGGAAGTTATAGGAGTTCAAAACTCAACTTCCATAAGATATATCTTATCTGATATATCAAGCATGGGAAATATATAATTGAATATTATAAATATTCATATCATATGGACCTTCATAGGTTCATGCACTGCATACAAAATAACAAAGTAAAATATATATTATATATATATTTATTATTCAATGCATGTAGAAACCATGCAATGCTACATAATAAATAAATAATATATATTTATACTTTACATGCATGCAGACATATTAAACCCAAATTGAGGAAGGAAGCCATATAGCCGAAACTTAGATTCATGAACATACATTGCATGCAGACATAAATCAAAAGAAAGGCTTTTGAAATAAGCTTACGTGAAATTCACTTGGCCGAAAGATGCAAACCATACCATGCAAAGTTTCGTGAACCTCAATGATAAGGACGAAACCATTTCATTTCAACCAACAAAACCATTTCATTTTAACCAACGAAATCAACAATAGGGCCATCAACTTTCGTTAAGCAATGCAATTATCAAACCTGAATCAATACGAGAACTTTCGGTCTCAACCAAACAAAAACATATTTCCCATTTTACTTTCTACCAAACTAAAATAATATTTATAACTCCACAACACCAAATATTATTTAAGCTTTTCATGGTAGTCCAACTGAAATATTAATCTCCATTACTATATAAATCTCCAACAGATGGAAATCGTCCGTGAAGATCAAGACGTCGCTGGATGTGGTGTCTCGCCCGACAGGAAGTATTAGAGAATAATATTATATTTATGAACTTAGTCTAATATTGTTTCCTACTCTTGTGTAGTGGTTTCTATAATTTCTCTTTGCCTAGCTATTTCCCACTTTTGTTATATAATTGTGTATATATACTTGTTCCTTATTAATGAAATATATAAGCTGTTTATATCTCATAACATGGTATCAAGAGCTTGATCCTATTGGGTAATTTTTTCTTTATCTTCTTCATGGCTTTGGAAAACCCATCTTCCCCTCCAACTACAACTACAGATGCTCCTCCTGCTATCATTCCCACCACACAAGATCCTCAAAATCCTCTTCTTATAATTAATTTCTCAAATATAACCAAGTTAACAGACACAAACTACCTCACTTGGATGGGAGAGGCTGATGGCAGCGATGGATGGTCGCTGGTGTAGCGTTCCCAGCAGTCACGAAGAAGAAGGAGTTGATGATGCGGTGAACGCTGTCGATTTGAGCACAGAGAGATGACCAAAGAAATTAAATGCAGTGAACGTTGTCAATGGCGTGAAAGAAGAAACATTCACATTAAATGCAAGCATGGGTTGTTCGAAAGAGAAGTACAATAGGTAAGGGATGGGTAGTCAGGCCAGCACATGGCTACAGTAAAAAGCTAACAATCTCTTTGTACTTCACAAGCTGGACACAAGCCGGATTTTGAATGGTGGATGCATCATAAGGGCAGATGAGGAATTTCATGTTGCAAGGTCCAACCAATAATGCATAGAGTACAAAAAAAGTCTCCTGAAAATGTCATGGGCAAAAATCACCGAGCCTTTATGCGTATTCATTGATTCGGGAAAAAAAAATGTCATTTTCCCTAAAATTATAATATATAAGAAAACTAGTAGAATCATAAATCTAGTGAATCAACTATGATTTGATATTAGCTAGCTAGTTTTTCTAAAAAGGTGGAGTGTCGGATCTAAGACATAGGTTAGAGTGACACCGACTTATGGTGGTCATAGATCGATTTGGTTAGTATGTTGGCTAAGTAAGGGTGTTTCACTTTACTAGCGTGTTATTGATGCATAACTCAAGTAGACAAGTAAAGTCGTCAAAATGAACTTTGTCTGCCAAGTCAGTTCGCCCTGCCCCTATTTAAGTAGGGGTGGGTTTCAGTTTCAACAACATGTCAAAGAGAGGGGCTTAGAGGTCTGCCCTGCTTGCCCCGTGGGCTTGGCTCGCATATATATATATATATATATATATATATATATATATATATATATATATATATATATATATATATATATATATATATATATATATATGATTATTTTTAAATACAAACCCTCCTTAAAATACAAACATCCCTTAAAATACAAACGGTGTGCATGTAAGTATGTTAATGTGTGCACGAGCTAATTCCAGATATTGTTGGCAGTATGTCCAGTGTGCATGTAAGTATGTTAATATGTGCACGGGCTTTGATGGATGGTTGTGATTTTTTCCTCCTACGCGTTGTGTGCATGCAAGAATGTTAATGTGTGCACGAGCTTTGATGGATGATTGTGATTTTTCATCCTACGCGCTGTGTGCATATAAGTATGTTAATGTGTGCACGAGCTAATCCCAGAAATTGTTGGCATTGCGCCATGTGCGCATGTAAGTATGTTAATGTGTGCATGAGTTCAAGTTTGTATTTTAAGAGGGTTTGTATTTGAATGCAACCATATATATATATATATATATATATATATATATATATATATATTTATTTATTTATTTATTTATTTATTTGAATGTTTGAGTAGGAAGTAAGTATCTTGTTATTGTAAGAAGTCTAAGGAGTTGTGGATGGAATCGTATCAATTGCATATTTTTGTCATAAAATAAATTGAGCGTGTTAGACTACTAGCAATCGTTATGCTGTAGAACCGCGTCCACCTAACAAGGTGGACACGGTTCTATGTTCATAATTTCTGAACTATATATTCATAACTATAAAGTTATATATTCATAATTATTGAACTTCATATTTATAATTATTGAACTCTATATTCACAATTACATAATTCTATGTTCATAATTACTGAACTATATGTTCATAATTATAAAGCTATATATTCATAATTTTTGAAATATATATTCACAATGATTGAATCTCTATATTCATAATTCAGAACTATGTGTTCATAATTATGTTCACAACTCTATGTTTATAATTATAAAACTATAGGTTCATAATTTTTGAACTATATATTCATAATTATGAACAATTTTAAAACCGTGTCCACCTTGATACGGTTCCACAACATAATTTGTCGACTACTAGCCCGTGGGACAAACCACTCTGGCCGCTAGTGAAGTCTAACTGTCTAAGTGAGATTTATTGATGTGGTTCATGGTTATAATCAATCATTATTGTGTGGACCATATTTTGTCTACTATAAAATAATGTACATTCAGTACAAAAATAATGTACATTGTATTCAGGGGATGTACATTATTTTTGTTCTGAGTGTACGTTATATTTATAATCTACATTCAGTATGAAAATAATGTACATTTAATTTGCCTGAATATAATGCATACTCAGTATAAAAATAATGTACATCCCCTGAATACAATGTACATTATTTTTGTATTGAATATACATTATTTTACAGTATACAAAATATGGTCCACACAACTTGTTTAGATCATGGTCCGCACAATAATGATTGTATTAACCATTATAATTTTAAAAACCTAACCATGGATAGATATTCTTGTTAGGTTAACCCACTTGGGTCAACGGGCTGTTGCTTGGGCCACACACAATAGGCCTTAATACCAAGTCCATTACTTGGACATATAAGCCAATAAGGAATCAGTGGCAAATTATGCCCTGGACCCGTGTCCACAATGAATTGTGGACACGGCCCAAAACGACGTCGTTTATAAAAAAAAAAAAACGCGTCATTTAGTTAAAAAAAAAAAAAAAAAATCGCGCGTGTTTTGCCGTTAACGGCGTTATTTTTTTGGATTATGAATGTACAGTTATGCCGTTATGAATGTACAGTTATGCAATTATGAAATTGAACACAGAGCTCTAACATTATGAACTTACAATTATGAACATATAGTGATAAAATTATGACCATGGAGCTTTAAAATTGTGAATATAGAGCTTCGAAGATTATGAATGTACAGTTATGGAGTTATGAATCTACAGTTATAGAGTTATGAATCTACAGTTATGGAGTTATGAATCTACAGTTATGAGATTATGAATCTACAGTTATGGAATTATGAATGTACAGTTATTGATCGAATTATGAACAAAGAGCTCTGACATTATGAACTTACAATTATGAACATATAGTGATAAAATTATGAACATAGAGCTCTAAAATTGTGAACATAGAGCTTCGAAAATTATGAATGTACAATTATGGAGTTATGAATGTACAGTTATGGAGTTATGAATGTACAATTATGGAGTTATGAATGTACAGTTATAGAGTTATGAACGTACAGTTATGGAGTTATGAATGTACAGTTATTAACATATAGTAATAAAATTATGAACATATACTCCTATAACGAAGCGGTCTGAAATTTATAGAAAAAAAAAAAAAGAGATAACAGTGCCTAACGGCACTGTTAGCCGTGTCCAGCATGCATGCTGGACACGAGTCCAACGCATAACGATTGGGAATCAGTCATCTAAAGATTTTCTATTTTATTTTTCTTCTTCTTTTAAGACACTCATCCAAAGTTAAGGGTTAATAAAGGGAATTAAGCAGCTACA